CTTCTCCTTCCCCTTATCTCTTTCTTCTCCACCTCCTCTTTTTCCCCCGTCATTCTCCCCCTCTTCCTACCCTCTTCCATTTTAATTCCTTCTATTGAACTTCATCCGCAACTTCCTCCTCATCCTGATCTGCCTCATCCTCACCCCAGCCTCCCTTGCCTCGCACTCATCATCTGTTTCCTCCATCAATGCATACCAGCCATTCCCCTGAAACCAGGGGCACCCATAAAGGCCAGTTCTTTGTGATGAAGCGTCTAACCCGAACGTTTGTTGACCAGTTAAGTGCTTCCAACTACGTCTTAATGTTTATTCTGTTCTAGAACTGGGGTATAGCTGGCCGATTTAGACAGTAGACGTCCATCTACATCCCCTTTGTCTTTGCTCATAAGAAATCTCACATACTTATGCGGAGTTGAATGAAGTGAAATTTTTGACCTTCAATGCTCAGTCCAGTCTAGTACCTACTTATCCGTTACTGTAATACTGTGACACATGAACTCGGGCGTCCCTTAACCCTGGACCCCTTTCGCTGACAATCACCAGAGAAACGTTAATGTATTATACTTATTCGTCCCCCTAGGAGAGACCACGTCGTTTACAGCAGAAATCACGCTGCCCTGCCAACGTGACTGTATGAGCAGCAGTTAGCAACGGCACCAGGGTGGGGCATGACGTGTGTGTCAGATTGTGTTTGTGTGCACGCACTTTTTTGGTTCACTTCAAAACCCTCCTGATCCAAATCGATTGCCGGGAGCGTGATTTAAGCAGATCTGTCGAACGCCCACATCAGGTAAGGCTCTCAGTCACACAAAGTCATCAGTGTTAGCGAAGAACTTAAGAGCTTTGCGGCATAAACGTTTGAGTGGCGAAACGTGTGGGAATATTCACAATAATCATTGCCAACTGCTCAGCCATACTCCAGAGAATTTTTAGTAATGAAGTGCCAACGATTCTGGAGACTGTGTATACAGCCCAAAACAGTGTGTACAGTGAAAGAGGAACTGATAGAAGCGAACAGGCGAGTTCCAGGTAGCAGTTGAAAGATGAAGGTGCGATCACTGGAACAAGACATTTATTTGCCTGACGTTTCGGATTCTCACCCGAATCCATCATCAGAGATATTCGCAGATAATGGTGATGGTGGCACCAGGAGTGCAGTATTTATAGCACGTCGTTGCCGTGGGACCGTGTGCGCACTGCAATTAACAGTTCTCGCAATCACCGCTGGGGTCGTAATTGGTGCGGTGGTGGCTTGTTGGTCCGAGTCCGAGTCGTTAACCGCCGCGATTTCGTCATCCGTGCTGGATGTTGGTGTGACGATTGCTCGGCAAACTGGTTCACTGTCACTGTGGTGATTGCTCGCCCGCGCCCTACCCACGTGACTGATTCTCCTGCCCAAGGAAAATTTCAGCACGGAATATGGTACCGGGGCCTCCAGTAATCGCATCTTCATCTTCTGAAAAAGGAACTCAAGCTTCTGTAGGAAAAGCAGACGTCTTTCCAGCGTCTTCACCACCTCTTACTTTCGTCTGACCATAATATTACTCCTCCTCATTTTTCTGCCTTCCTAATTTGTCTTCTTCCTCCTCTCCCTCTTCCATATAGTTCCCCTCAACTTGCTACTTCCTCCACTGCTTCTTCGTCATTCGTCTTCCTTATCTCCTATACTCTTCCTCATCATCATTAAAATTAACCTCCTCCTCCTCCTTTTCATCATTGTCATCATCATCGTCGTCGTCGTCGTCGTCGTCGTCATCATCATCATCATCATCATCATCATCATCCTCAGCAGCAGCAGCAGCAGCAGCAGCAGCAGCAGCAGCAGCGTCATCACCATCCTCATCGCAAATCGCCATTATTCCCACTAGACAACAGTGAAGATTCGGATCACCACCACCACCGCCGCCATCACCAACGCCGCCATTCCTCCTCCTCCTGTCGTCCCCGTTCTCTCACTCATCATTCCGCTTTTTCACCTCTACCTCTGGCTATGTTTTTCCTGCCACCATTTTCCTGCTCATCTACCGCCTCCTGTTTAATTTATTACTCCTCAGCTTCCCACTTCCTCGGCTGCTTCTTCAACATTCTTCTGTTTTATTTCCTCCCCACCATCAAAATTAACCTCATCCTCCTCTTCCCCCTACTCACTATCATCGCCATCGTCATCGTCATCGCTCATCGTCATTATTCTAACTTTTTGCGTGTACAGTCATAATTATTGAAGTACTCGAATCAACATCTATCCGTCATTATTCCCACTAGTCGGCAGTGGGAATTCGGACA